AAAATGCCAGCATCGAGTAAATCTTATCGGAGATTCTCTTTCTTCAGCGTTGCTGTCGAGGACAATAATTTCGAACAGATGATCTTGAGCATTCAGAGCTGAAATTAAAGGCTGACAGGGAAGTTTATAGATCAGGTGATCTAGTAACTATTACTATTGAAGTTAAAAACCCAACAATTGAATGTTCTCTTTTGATTCTATGGATGCTGTGAAGTTTCATATTCTAAAATTTGAAGTTCATAGAATTGTGGCTAAATTATTTTTCTATTCTGGAAGTTTGAAATTTTGATTCATCAATTGGTGCGAGAAAATTGGTGAAGGTGAGATTTTATCAGTGAAGATGGTTGAAATTATGGAAGGTGAGAGAAGTTGTAAAAATTGATGGCCTGAATTTTGTTAACACATCTTTTGTCAACCAACTTTATAAGTAAACTTTGTACAAGTAAAATTATTGTTATTTTAAGGAGTGATAATGTGAGAGAAAATATCCTAAATTATCCGTAAATGATTCAATAATTTAGAATATATATTATTTTTAAGGTTATAAAAATATGGTTCATGACCTGATATTTGAAAGATTTTTTACAAGTTTGATAGTTTTGAAAGTGTATTCTAAAAATATGGTAATTATGAATTGTTCCCCAAGAAAAATGACAACAATAAAGTCAGCCATACGATCTTAGGATATGACGAAGTGATTAATTTTCAACTGTGGAGTATAAAAGGCATTTCTCAAAAAATACAACTCTTTTATTGTTGCTAATCTGGATGGACGGACGTATGACAATTCCTGATTAGCTCTTATGTGTTCACTTAGATTGTGCTTTTTTAAGTGAATGATGGACCGTTGGATTCCATTTACGGCAGAGATTAAAACACATCACTATGAGACTCTTGGATTGGAGGTCACTTTTCTTTTTGTTAGTCTCTAGATTTTTCTAGTCTCTCTCTCTTCTAGACTCTCATTCTTCTTCTCTTGGTTTCTTCAATCTTTGATTTTTTATGAGCTGTCTAACCAAAATATTGGTTGAATCTGTGTGATTCATGTTGCTACAGTAATCCGCCCTGAAATAGTGGTTGATTTGGTGTCTGTAGTGTTTGCCAGAAAGTTTTGTTTATGTTTTTTGTTAGATCTTGAGATTTAAGAGATCAATTTGTGGATTGATAACTTAGTCTAAGTCTGATTGAGCTTTTCAGATTAGTACTCTCTCTTTCGGACGGTTTTCGTGTGCTTAGTAATCGAGTTAATCTTTGAGCCCCCAGATTAGGTGATTGCCGAATCGGGTGAACAATTTTGTGGTGTTCTTTTATATTTTCTTGCACTGTAGTTGTCTTATTTTGTTGTTTTTATTAATCGCGTGAGAAAAGAACCCTGACATCAACAATTTACTGTCTAATATAAAAATTAATCCCATCTTGTAAACTTCGCAAAATAATATCAATTAATTATATGGCAAAAGAAAAAAAGAAAAATCTAGAAAGCACTGAATTCATCATAATCAGTTTCGTAAAGGGGGAGAAAGTTTGTAATGTATAGAAACTGGGTTAAAGTGTTAAGACCTCAACTAATTAATTTAATTAGTAACATTCTTTTGCTTGATATTAATAAACAAATAATGCAGCAGATCCAAAGCACATTGGAACTCAGTTGACGGCCATTTCATCCCTGCACCACTAAGCCCACGTTTGTTCTCATTTTTTTAAGAATGAGAATGAAAAAAATAGTTGTTACTGGCCTCACACAAGAGATAGAAATTCAAATTTGGTGGCTTGATGTGATAGATGACGATCATATTTTTCATTTTAATGAGGAAAGAATGGAAACCAAACAGGGGTTAATCTACTAGTTTATTACTACTCATCTCCCATCCATATTAATCTAATTTTTATAATATGCTACTCAGCGACATACTTATACATGAAATTATTGCTACAATTACTGGTCATTATTGTTCACAAATTCTTTCTAAAATCTTGTTTTCTTGTATGGTCGTATTTAGCTTTGTTAATTATTGCATGTCAAATATTATTTAATTTAATTTTCTTTGTACTATATATCCACTGCAACGTATCAATTCATCTATAGTTAACCATGAATGCTATCTATCGTGTTCCGTAGCATTTTGAAATGTTATTATATGTAGTGTTATTAAAAGTCGCACCTCTATTATAACGTTTTGGGAATGCTATTATAAAGTGTTGTAAAAACTTTTAATTAGAATTCCGTAATCATCATTGTTTTAATATTTATAGCATTTTTTTTTAGTTTTTTATTTGATAGCAGTTTTTCTTTATAATTTTGATTTTAATAACGTTTAGTTTAACAAGTAGATATTTGAGTGGGATCCACCCACGTGAAAGGGTGAACACCCTTAGATACGAGAAATTATGTACCACTAGAATTATTCTTAATTTAATTGTCACGGTAACATCTTCAATAGCATTCTTTTATGTTGTCAAATGTGGTTCAATTTACAATGCCTTTTAGATTTTTCTGTGATAAATAAGCTCGTTTAAGACTTAAGTATGAGTTGTTTGACAAAAATTTTGATAAAAGTCGAAGAGCTTATAAAATGTATAATTGAATTAACCGTTAACTTTGATCTCAACTTTTCATCAATTTTTAAACTTTCGACAAACAAACACTTAATTTCTCATTTACTCGTCAATAATTTTGAACGTATAATATACTACAACCGTCTCTAGAAAAAAGAGATCACATAAAATTATTTTCAAGATCTCGTAAAATGATTTGCAAATCCATTGGATAATTAGATCAAATTAACTACTCTTTAACACCATTATTTAGCAATAATTAATTTTTTCAATCTACAAGTAGTACAAACATTACTAGTTTCAATAAATAACATCCCTCATTTATAAAAGCAGCTTTTTTTTTTTTTTCTTAATCCTGTTTAAAATCAACATTTATTAAAATCTACTAAAAATCTGATATTTTAATTGATCCAAACACGGCTAATCTGAATTTTAATTGAACCAAACAAGGCTTTGTATCACTCACATGTAAAATGTATGATAAAGTGTAGTGTCTGATCCATAACCAGTAGCTGTTTTAACAATCATTCGAACCAGTGGCCACAAATTTGCAGCCAGTGCTCATGTTTCCATAAAAGTAGAAACCTGAATTGCACTTTACAAATTTCTTCCCCTATGAAAAATGGAAGAAGAAAACCCTTTATTAATCTCCTAAAAATCAACTTTTCACCTTTGAATAATTATCAATGGATTATCTGTTGATAAAAGTATTAAACTTTTGATTACAAAAATCACAAATAAAATTTTCGTTGATAAAAGTGGTAGCTCTCCACCAACTGATATTTCGTGTCTAATGTCATTGTTTAATATACGTATAATTTATTAACAACATTTTCAAAGGTGATATAACTCTTTTTATTATTATTATTAAAATTGTGTCAACCTTTCACCTACGGATTTTTCGTGCGTGAAGAGTAGTTCATATTTTTAATGAAATTGCTGTTGCTAATATTAATCAATTTTAATAATTAAAAATTTTCAAACATTCTCATATGGAATATTCGTAGGTGAAGGATAATTATTATTTAAAATTAAAAAAATAGCCACTTCACCAATGGAAATTCAGTGGGTGAAGATTAATTCATATTCCCTACGAAAAATCCGTTGATGATATTAACCATTTTTAATAATTAAAACTTCAATCATTCACATACTAAATATACATATTTGAAGGGTAATAACATATAAATAATTATTTATACAATAGTACAATACACTACAGTCAAATTAAGGGTACGATACACAACAGTCCAACCAAAGGTATTCTTATCCTACATCAAAAATTCACAACAAAATTTTTGGAGTTGTCCTCTATAAATTTGTGATCCAATAAGTGGTTAAATAACTTTTTAGACCTTTTAATTCATTTGGCTTAAAGTTACAATTTTATAATTATTAAATAAATATTAATAACAATAATAGAAAATAAATAAATAAATTTTTTTGCCATGCCTGGCATCTATATAGCTATTTACAACATTGATTTTTACCAATTATAATGATAGACATTTAGCAATGGAAAGTTGGTTGATAATGAATAAAAACTTTATCAATGGAAATTTTGTTGGTAAAAGGTTCACACTTTACCAACGAAAAAATCGATGATAAAATGTTTACTCTTTACCTAAGACACGGTCTGTTGATTACCATTAACAACCCTCAAAGTAACAACGAATTTGTGGTGGTTACTATTTATTTGGTAAGAGTAATAGCAATGGATATCATGCTTTCAGGAATGAAAAATCCGTGTCCCAAGCTTTTTTTATTTTTTTATCCTTTTTTTCTTTTGCATTTAGTAAGCATTTTTATACAGATTTCGTGGACTGTAGGTGAAACGTTGGAAAGAGAGACGTCAAGCCATATGAACAACACAAACAATTGAGTTACAGATTAATCAGAACGCGACCTTGAACAATCAAATAACTAGGTAAAGCCACAAGGCATGGTACTTATCAAGAAAACAAAGTGACGTAAATTATCTTGTAATCGACAATATGAAGGACAACCACGATCAAGACAGAACAAAAACAGGATCAAGTATGGGGAACAAATTTCAAAAGTTAACCAAAGACAAATGCATACAAATAAACAAAACTACAAGTCTCATGGCTATCAATTTTTGGGCCGGTTATTGTACAGTTTTCCTTCAATCATTTACACAAATTTCAAAGAAAGATGCTACAGATCCAGGATAGAAAACAGGGGGCCGCCTGTCGAAAAGCAATTGAATAGTTTGATATTTTTTTAAAAACACGTACAATCAAAAACATCCAAATCAGCCAGTTTTCTTGATTCCTGTCTTTAATCCTGTCCAAGGAGTTTAATTGAATTTGAAATGCAAAAGACAATAATTCACATGATCCCATGATGTATGTATGTAAATTATACACACACAAACACGTGGGTGTGTGTGTTCATGCCCATACTGATCTCCATGCAAGCAAGAACAAGGAAAAACTTCCCTTCCAAATGGAAAAATACAAAAAAGTGGCTACAAAAGACAATATTTAAACTGCTAAATTCAACAACTCAACTCTTTTCTGAAAGTGGAATCCACATTGGAAATAGAGTGAAGTCAGAAATATTGTACTAAGAAGAAAATTTAGGAACTCTACTTCCTTTATATATGGAAATTGCTGTACACACCTAAGAAATTAAAATGCCCTCTTCAACAAGTAAAATTTAGCTCCAACAACAAAATCAGGAGAGAAAAGAATGGGGAATCTAATCAAAGGATAACTTGTTATCTAGATCTTCATTCATGGCAGTAAATTACAAGCTTCCCATTTGTACCTTCCGTTCAAAGGAACATCCATAGCTATATCATAGTTGTACCTGAGATTGTTGAAACTAAATCGTTAATCATGGAACTCAAAGTGAAGGTGTATGATCTCATATCACGCGCTCAGTGTAATGATTGTATAAACTCACTTTTCAGCGAATCGTTTTTGCTCGTACTTTTCCGAAGCTGAAAAGAACTCCTCCAATTCCTCCGCCGATGCCATCTTTCCGGCTGCCGGTTTATGAGCAGTAACAGTCTTCGACAACTTTTTTATTAACGTTGATGATGAATCAATTAACACTTGCTCTGAATCTCCACATAGCTTGCTTGTTGGAGTTGTCTCTCTACTGGAAAACCAAAAACCAAAAGAATTTAGTTCAAAACTCAAATCAATACACTCGCATATAGAAGATGAAACATTCAATACTTGCTGCGGAGTTTAGTTCATTTACCTGAAAATGGACTTGGAAATTTCAGTTTTAAAATCAATATTCTGAAACATAAATAAACAAATAAAAACGAATTAAAATCATCAATTGATGAAGATTGAGAAGCGAAAACATTAGAGAAATCTAAATTCACATCTGAAACATAGTTTGAAATTTTTTTAACATCAGATCTATGATCTCACTTTCTCTTTTTCATGCTTAGTGCAGACGGATATCCCAGACGCCTCATGCGATACTGAATTCTCCAGAAAACTCACGTCGTCAAAGTACTGAATTTCGAGCTCAGAGTACAACTTCCTTTTCTTACTTGAACTCAACTGCTGCATGACCTCCTCCTCCTCCTCCATAGCCCTACTCCGTACAGTCACTCTTTCACTACTTCTAAGGTACTCCTCCATCTCTCTCTCTCTACCTTTACATTCATGTAGCTGTGTATATATATTTCTATCGCAGAAGCATGTTATGCATGTGTATGTATGTATAGATCAAAAGCGTCTGTAAAGGTAAAGCTGAAACGGCACACACTCTTTTTCTTTCTATATATACACATAGTAGTTAAAAAATCAGTTGAAAGCGTGGTAGGGGTAAAATGGGAAATTGCAAGGTTTGGATTTGATCCGACGGTGGAAATTAAATGAGGCAGTTAACAAGGCATGTGGTCCTGACATGGTTAACGGTGACAGGCACATGGCAATGCCGTTACTAGGGATCTGGACGAATCATGAGATGAGAATGATCGCTCAAATAATTACGAATCAACAACTGACACGTTTTGTCCATCTGCTGTAGCCGGTACTCTCACCGGGACCTCTCTACTTAGCTCCAATTCTATATGAATTTTAATTTAAATCAAAATTAATAATTAATTATAATCACATATCTTTATGAAATTCAAAACTATTCAACCGCATATTTAATTAAAAATTACTAAAGATCTTTATGAGCATTTACAATCGTGGTATAAAATAAGTCTAAATTGTGATTTAGATTTTTAAAGTGATCGGAAACCTATCCAATATGAAGACCCAAAGGAAATGCAAATTGTATTTTTCGGCGGAAACTAAGAAAATGTAAATTTACATATTGTTTTACGTCTAAAAGTGGCAAAATTTGAATTTAGATCTTCCTATTTGAGTAAAATTCAAATTTAGATCAATCGGAATGAAAATGAAAATACAAAAGTGATTTTAAAGAACCCAATTTTATACTATTATTGAAGATGCTCTGATTTCCATATTTATCTCCCGTAGTCAGTTTGACGGCTTCCAGCAATTTAGGTTCACTTAAATGTCTGCGTATAATTTGATATCATGGATCGAGACTATGTCAATTTTTTTTTTTTTTTTTTGAATTGAATTGAATTAAGTGCATCGCACACTTAATAGTTGCGTGAATCTTGCATTCATACCATATACTTGTATACGCATCATCAATTATCTTTGAGAATTGAGATGCTAAATTGTTATGGGGTTATGATGATACTAAACTCTAGACTATCATCGTTTTTAAGATAATGTTGAACCATCTCATTTAAAGATTTAAATATTGATTGAGAAAGTGACATTTTAAATATATCGATATCTTGTGGGAGGCTTTGTAACCATTAACAACCCATTTTTATTTATTTATTATTATTATTATTTTTTTTTTCTTTTCCTTTCAATTGGCTAAACTTCCAAAAGGAGAAAGACATGTAGTGTGTGGAATGGCAACATCCAAATAAAGGGTTCTATTTTAATTTCTTGATTTGATGATATATGTAGTGTACTTGAACACTGATATGTTAGTCATATTTTCCTTTTTCTTGGCCTATGTGCTTAGGATTCTGTTTCCTTGATTTAAATGAGAAGATATAATTTCAGATACAGGCCCCAGTTTGCAATTAGCCAACATCTTCTTTAAATAGAAGTTTCGTACGTGCAGCACAAGGTGCATTATATTAATCCTCGTCCTCCTTTAAATTTTAAAATTTGATTTAACTATGCATATTATAACATACTAAACATGTCAATGAAGATTCTCAAAATATTAACCACATTTAAACTTAAAAGTAAGAGTATGATAGATATTCACATAAAGGTGTTAAGTGGAGAGAGCTGCTCGACGGCTCGTCCCAATAATGAGTCAACCAGTAAATTTCTTATGTGAGTAGCTCGTCAGATCGATGAGCCTGCTCTCGTCATAGGAGAGTGAAAATACAATTTTAAGTATTAATTCCCTTATCAAGCCTTTTCGTCGAGATAGTCCAGTGTTATTCAAGTTTCTATTGCAAGCCTAAGCATCCAGAAATAGTCGTAAAAAAGTGTCAATCCATCCGAGGAGGGAAAAGAAGTAGTAGAAGAGCTGCTCACTGCTTAGCTTTCAATTCGCCTGTGACCATTAAATGAAATGTGAATAATGTGTCCTCCATTTTAGTATCCTCCACTGACCTTCTTTTGTAGATAGAATCTTCGAAAAAATTGACGAGTCAAGGGGTGAGTCAAGCCCAAATTTGATGAAACGAGCCAGCTTGCACTTGACTTGCCACATAGACTAGCTCAATCCAGCTCGTGTGGTCAGTTGAGCTGAGTTCGACACTAGGAGCGTTAAGTGGCTCAACTTGATCTATTTAACACCCTTATATCTAGTTTGATTAAACTTAAAGTTAGCTTTAAGCAATTTATATTGAAATCGAAATTGGGGCAGGTTGGCAAACTCTTTAATGGAAAGTTAAAACATAGATTCCATAATACAGCTCCTGCAGTACTATTATTGAAATAAAACACTTCTGTGCAATAAATTTGATCATTTTCCATTAGCAATTCTTGTCTAACATAACATCCACGTGAATCTGTTTCTAAATAATTATTGTCTGTTACAACTTATGAAGGTGGATATTGATCAAACAAGCATCCAATGTCATGATCATGGCATGTTTGGTAAGAACGACGTTACAACAAAAACATAATTTAACACAATTATTATATTGCACAACGTGAAGTTGATGCATCTTGTTGAAACCATGTTAGAAACGACCACATTTACAAATTTAAGTTTTTATCGTAAGATATGTCCCGTCCTGCTTATTGTCGTCCCGATTAGCCAGTGGAATATATTAATTATATGTTAATTTCCATATTTGAAGTGACTGAACCTGAATCCAAAACTTCATATACATTCAGTCACTTAGTTTTACTATTTGAACAACTAAGATAAGTTGAACCAAGCATTAAATATATCGTATTATTTGCAGTGTAACACTGCCTTCAACTTTCATTACTCATATATCTGAAAGAGATGTAATACTATTAATGGTAACATTACAGCACAATGATCACGGAGCAGTGAGAAAATTAAATAAATGGACAAGATGTAATTAATACGAGTACTAAGACATGTTGAAAATAATTGATTCTTACCCGTTACCTAGGTCAGGTATTTAAATTTCACCAATATTTTAACTGCTCATAACTTTAATAGACGATGAAATTGTACATCAACACCGTGTAATATTTATATGCATGGAGAGGAAGTAGGCAGGCCCAAGGGTGAGTACATAATTGAATGGTTACAGAAATTATATTAATTGAGTAATGATATTCATAGTCACGGTTACATTACAATAGTCATCCTATTTGACAACTTGTTATCTGAAACATTAGTTTCCTGTAATTCTTTGAGGCTAAGAAGAAACTAACACCTCAAATAATAAGTTAATGTCTCAAATAACAAGCAAGCACATAAAATGATTATTGCAGTCGCTGACTATGAATATCATCATTCATAAAGAGTAAAGCCACACACGATCACGATAATGATATTTATAGTCGGCGACAGCAATAGTTATTCTATGTAGCTGCTTGTTGTTTGAGACATTAACTTATCATTTGAGGTATTAGCTTCTTCTTAGCCTCAAAGAATTATAGGAAACTAATGTCTCAAATAACAAACTGTCAAATAGGATGACTACTGTAATCGCTACATATGAATGTCATTACTCAATTAATAATCTTTATTTAAAAATAAAGAGAATTAACAAAGAATTTCTGAAACCATACAATTATGTACTCACCCTTGCGCCTGCCTACTTCCTCTCCATGTATATAATTATTACACGGTGTTGATGTACAATCCGGAAACCAATTTGGTTCGGTTACCAGAATACTGTATACGTGAATAGAATTGATTTATAAATATTTATTTACAATTTATAAGCAGTGTGAAACAAAATACAAAATCTGAAAAACCTAATTTTGATAGTAATTAGTCTAAATTTCCATATTCTAACTCTAGAAATCAAGATAGGATTCTACATTTTGTCACTCATCTCACTTCAGATTGTTACATTTTTAGAGGTTAGTACATGTTGAACTTTGAAATTTGGGCCTTTTATAAATCAAAAAGTTCGAGCTATGTTATGATGTAAGTTGATAAATCAAAAAGTTCATTATTTACAATTCAATTATTTTTTATTTTTATTATTATTATAATGAGTAGTAATTGAGCCTTCGTATAACAACCATTATTTGGGTAAATGGAGTTTTTAAAAGTAATTTTTTTAAGAACGTGTGATTAAAATATAGGAAATAGTTTTGGATTTACCTACAAAATATTTTATTGTGTAAATGTATGATTAAAAATGAGTACGTAAAAAAAAAAGTTTGGAAATAATGATTGTCAAACAAAAGCTAAACTTGATAAATTCATAACTTGGACTATGGTGGACCTTTTTTATTATCTTGAGTTTGTGGTTCCCTCTTAAATTATAATTTTCCTTTTTTTATTCAAACATACCAAATTCAATTTGTGGACTACAATTTCTTGATACTATAGAGTTATATCTCCAATTAGTATTTTTTATGTTGGTTCCTTTTATGAGCAAAAGAATTTAAACGTTGTTCATAATTAAATTATAAACTCTAGCATACCTCAGTTAAGGATCGAATGAAATTTATTAAAAAATAATACTTTTTCTCAAATTGTAATTTAATTTTGATGTTTTTAATTTCTCCTCGATTCATGGTTTTTAGTCTTCACCATTGTGCTTCTTGAAGATTTTTCAGTTGAATTTTCTTCCTTATACAAATACATTGTCGAGTAGTAGCGGGTTAGTTATATGTACTAAAATGGCCAATATGGTATTATTTATTAAGGCCGCGTTTGGTACCCATTTTTTTCAAAATGCATTTCTCTCTCTCTTCTTTTCAACCTCACATTCTTCATTAAAATAATATTACACGTAAATCTAAAACTTTTCTTTATTTTTCAAACACACATTTCCCATTATTTTACTATTTCAAAATACATTTTTACATAAAAATGACTATCAAACACCCTCTAAATGTATATAAAAAATGTCATGGGCATAACCATACTTGAACTGGAATTGACGGTTCAAGTTTGAATTTGGTCCAGTAATTATAAGGATTTGAATGGTTCCATTTACAAAATATTCTACGTATAATGGATGATTTTGAGTATTGAATACCTGAATTGACCCACCTTGCTCAAACCTAACACTGGGAATAAGACGA